TTCCTGCCATGGCGGGGGGTCGGACCAGATGATCTGCTCAGGTCCCTTCCGACCCTGGAAACTATGAAACTATGAAACTATTTCCAATAAACACAACTCAGAGTTATTTGGACTATGTTCTGTGGGAAAATGTTTCCCCTTAACTGTAAGCACAATGGATCCCTTTGCATCTTCATTAAATCTCCTGTTGACATTACATTTTAATATCTGCCCATTTATCCTGTCTGGTCTAGGTGCACAGCACAAAGTCAATTAAAATGAACCTTGCAGGGTTCAGTGTCTTGCTTCTGGCACTTACCTACAGCAAGTGATTATCAGTGCTATTCCCAGAATGAGCAGAAGTCCACCACCAGCAGCCGCAATTACCACAGTGATTAGCTGATATGCTAAGTACAGAAGAGATACAGGAGATACTTAGAATGGCAACATTTATAAATATTTAAGTGAGCATATGTATGTCCAGCAGGCAAAGTCATTAAGAATGACTCTCCTTTGTTCAAATGTTACTGAGTAGCGTGTTAAATTTTGCTCAGTACATTTGCCTGGAGCTGGGGAGTCTTTGGGAAAAAGTGGGAAAACAGGAACTATTATACTTGGAACAACAGATCCCCTCTTTGGAACAGTCTATATTTATGAACGCAAGAGACTCGTAAAATGAAAACTACCAATTTACCTCAAAGTAACATCCTGAGATAGCATCTGTTAGCCCCCTCCCCCTGCCTCCCTAAAATGTTGCAATTTCCTTCCCTCCAGGACAGAATTTCTGATTTCTGATCTGCTTTAATGCAGAACAAAAAAATTATAGCTGGTTCCAGGGTATGAAATTTAGGTCTCCAATTTCCTTGCCCTGAGCAAGAGCTCTGTTTTAGGAAACAGGCCAAGAATTTGTCAAGAGTGATGACTGATAGCAGTGATCCAAAGAAAATTGGGCCCTGCTTATCACGAGGAGAACAAAGCAAGCTGATTGCAATCCAGGCTGAAAACATATCAGACCGTCTACACAGTAAACTCCCCGTGCTCAGCCCATGCTACGCAGGCCACTCAGACCACAGCGTGGACGCAGCTCTATTGCACAGCACCACTGCATGCATGGGGATACTGCTCTACAGAGTGTGACATTTACTATGAAGACACAGCATGACTGCTAGGAGAGATATCTGTGCCCACAAGATCCCACCCAGGAATAACCTGAAAGGAAGCTCAATACTTACGGTTTCCACAGTTGAATCCCCCCAAGCCAAATGGGCAGCTGCAAGAGAAAAGAACAGCAGGTTTTAAACATCAGAGCTTTTGCTGTAGCTACATTTTCCAGTAGCAATTTGGAAAGTGGACTCATGGGGGGGAAATGGGAGGAAAGTCACAGACTCCACCGTACCTTACGCAGGTCTCGTTCTCTAGCTTAAACCCATCTTCGCAAGCTGAAAAAAAAGGAAGAGAAAGGCCATAAGTATCCTCAGGGGTATGCCAGCTGTATGTCTGTACAGTCCCTCACAAGGTGCAAACAGAACAATTGCAATCCAGGCTGAAGACACCTTAGGCCTTGCCTATATACTAAACTCACCATGCTCAGCCATGCTAATTAGCCCACTCAACGCGCAGCCTGGATGCAGCTGCGTTTCTCTCTGTTGAGGTGACAAGCACCCAGGACTGCTCATACATAACGTGAGCAGCAAGGGTGGGACCAGTCAATCGTTGCACGGTGAAGTGGACAACAGGCCACATATAAAGGAGAAGGTACTTATATTTGCTGCCACCTGCAGCAGAACGAAAGCACGGGCACTTAGTACCAATGAGCTGAGCATCACCCATGCCATTCCTGCTCCTTTGAAGGTTTTCAAAGGTCACGACGAGCCCAGCAGACCCCTGGCGAGCACTGTACAAGTATGACCAACTTTGGACTAGGCACAACAACGCACTTAATCACGCGTTTAACTTTTCAGAACAAAAGCAGGCTTTAATAGGAGCACTCAGCCATAGATAATCTGTAGACCAGGGTTACCATTTTCACCAGCAACATCTTTACAGCATCAGAACCTTCTTGGAGAATCTCTCTATTTCTAGGAAATTCTGTTTCCGCCCTGAAACTTTGGCCTCTAGTTTAATGATTTTGTTTGATACTCAGTTATGAAATAACTGAATATATACATATATATATTTTTTTTTAAACAATCATTATTCATTAAATATTATCGAACTAGAATGTTTAGCTAGGCCCAAAATAATTTTGTGCAACACAAAACGTATCGTGTAATCTGGGAAAAAATTGGTTTGTCTTTTAATTAGGCTTGAAAATACATTTTGGAATGATAGACTTTTCTGCGGGATTCAAATTCTCATTTCCTGCCTTCTCTACAGTAAGCCAGGAATAAGTGGGAAAGCTACTGGACAGGACTGAAAGGTGTCCATAGCATCGGAAATACAAGGACTTGTAGTGCTTACTCTGCAGAAGTCTTACTGAAGAAAGAGTCTGCACAATCTCTATTGTGTTTCTGGTCCAATACTAATGATGATAATATATTAAAAAGTAAATATACACCCCGTTCCAATAGCAGCTGGACAGGACTTTTTTGCCATAGACCATCAGAAGGTTTATAAAACCAGGTCTAGATATATGGAGAGTTGTTTTATGTTTAACACCTTTATTGTTTGAGGTAGCAATGAGCACCCTGCCCTGATACCTGAACATCCCCGCTAAACAATGACCAGCCACGTGTCTCTAGATCCTCCCTGGTGTTTTATAGATCATTCTCCCTTCCTACAGTGAAGCCCCATGGAGTGAGCTCTCTGCCTAGGCAGAGATCAAACAGCATCTCTGTCTCTAAGGTTAAAGCTTACAATCTGCCAAGAAGCACAGTAAGCAGCCATCCACCAACACTGATCCATTCCTAAGCCCAAATGCATGATGTGCTTATGCTCCTACATTGCATTCACCCCCTGTAATTTGTCTGATTTAATGATACAATGTTAGGCTCTTATAGAAAGGTTAGGCTTTCTGGGTAAATAGGGTGCAGCTATGACCATTACCTTAAAGGAGGACATAAAGCATGTACGATTGGTTATATAGCTAGAGAAGGGCTGGGTGTGATAAATGCAGCGGACCAGTGGAGGTCACTGTTAACCTGCAGTAATGCAGCCAAGGCAGGATCTTTGTTTCCTGCTTCTATAAAATGCATTTAAATGTCTCAGTGAGTACCTAGCTTTTTATAAACCTGTATCTCAATGTCCAGAGATGCTTGGCATAGAAAGTTGGGGGTCGGGGGGAAGGCTGAAATTGCACAGCATGTTTAAGGGATGCTGACAAAATCATAACAGATCAAGAGAGATTTTGCAGGAGAGAGATCTCATAACACCAACTGAGAGCTTCACAGACTGTTCAATGGGCTCATCCAATCTGATCCCCTGCACAACACCAGCCAAAAACTCCCACATTCGTTTTGGCTTCACATCCACTCGCTGTGGCTGATCATGATTTTTCAAATGGAGTCGTCACCAACACACCTGGTAGGTTGCTGCACTGACTGATTCCTTCACTGCTAAAAATTTGCCTCTTATTTTTAGTCTCACTTTGCTTAGCTGCAGCCTCCACCCATTAGACCTTCACCTGCTAGGCTGGAGAGCCCTCCGTTATTGAACTGCTGCTCTCCGCAGCTAGTACTTGTGAACTGCGATCACGTCACCTCTTCACCTCTCTTTAATAAGCTAAACAGACTGAGCTCTGGCTCTTTCAATGCCGGACGTGTTTCCTAAGCCTTGCAATTGTTCTTGTGGCTCTTTTCAAACCACTTTTTCATTTAATTGTGGGCACCAGAAGAGGACACTGTACTCCAACGGCTCTGATGCCGCTGCCAAACGAAGAGGGAACCACCCTCGTCTCCACCCAATACTCCTGGTTCAGAGAGCCAAGAATGACACTTCGACCACAGCACTGCGCTCTCCCTGGCTGCTCTCCCCAAAGACAAATGGATACAGCAGCTGCCGCAGGCCTAGCACCCCTCTGCTGCCGAGAGAGGTGGGCATGGATTAGGGTCCCGGGGGATGTGGCTGCAGTGTCCTGCAGGACACGCACCTCGGGCAGGACTTACTGATATGCAGGGGGCAGGGTCGGGTCCTGCACACACCATTTCAGTATGGCTTTGGGTTTTTGATTTTTTTTTTTTTTAACGTGATGCAGACCTGCAGAGCTCTTTGTGCCGATTTCCCTCCCTCCACCCTCTCCTCCACTCCTTTGAACCCACTCTCAGGCAAATTCACCTTGCCGCTCTCGCTGGGCACCAGCTACTCAGAAATCTCATCTGTGCGGCTTAAAGGCCTAGAGCGGCCAAGCAAGACTTTCAACTCCAATTCTTCTTTTTTTTTTGCCTTTTGTTTCTGAGCTTTGCCACCCTCATCCAGGAAGTGCTCGAGGGGTAAGACTCCTCTGGCTGGGATGAAGAGCTCATGAGGCTTTCCCTGTTCTGCACTGGGAGCACTGTTTTCTTGATGAAGCTACAGCCAGGAGTGGTATTTTTTGTGGCTGCCGTTCCAGTAACCACACCCTTGTGATTTCCTTCCTACAACCCTCTTTCCCTTTTAATCCTCCAAACCACACCCAGCTTCCTCTTAAGGATTCCCGGTAGCATAGGACAATAGCCATTTCCCATGGTGGAGAAAACTATAATCAGAATTACTGCTAGTGAGCATTCAGCATCCATCTGAGCCAGACTGACAGCACCCACAGCCAAGGTCAGATGTTCAAACAGTTCCTGTTTAGGCACCTAAAAATAAGGGCTAGTTTTCAAAAGAGTTCAGCCTATTATGCCCTGCCTTTGTCTGACATAATGCCCCTGACGATCAAGCAGGGAGCCATTTCAAAAATCTGGACCACGTAGAGATGCCTAAATGGAAGCAGAGCCTTTTGAAAATGCAGCCCCAATTTTGAGTGCCAAGACACTGAAAATCATCCCAGCAGCGCTTTTGAAACTCGGATTCTCCCCTTATGGAAGATGGATTTCCAGCGCCCCCCAAACTTGACAACGTGAAAGTAAAATTCTCCTGGGTACAACGTCCTGGAAAGGCCTAGGGTGAATGTCACCGAGGCCATCTACAAGTTCACAGAGGCTTCATATTGTCTAAAATGTGGTGACTTGGGGCTAGGGCCATTGCATTATGAAGCCAACAGCAGGGAAGTATGACTGCACCGCACAAAGCAGCCCACCATGGAGATATGTGAGCTAGCTGGGCTATCTGAAACACTGCATTTCTCAGCAGGGTGAGTTAGCCTGTGTAGAGCTCCAGGGACCATGACTTTAGCTGCTGGGGTACCCAAATTAGCACAGATATCGTTGCATCGTACGGCACCGTGCAATGGAGATATACACTCATGCTGTTGCAGCCTTCTAACTGATTGAATGCACCAGTAGATATTTATTTCACAGACCGAATGAGATAAATGAATATGGAATAATCCCATCTGTCTGAAGTACTTCAACGACTGGCTAGCACCCTAAGCACTAGACCATGCTTCTCGGCAGCTCTCTTCAAACATGTCATACTCCCGAAGTCTGCACCATTTGACAAACAACTTCTGTGTGTGGGAGGCAGGGGGAGGAAGGGGAAAAAAGCCATTTTTTGGACGATTCTCTTGCAGTAAAGAAATATGCATTTTTTTAAGTAGGTTGAACACATTCTCTCCTTCTCCCTCTTCTTTGTTAGAGTCCAGTGGTGCTGATGACCCCATTCCACATATGGGAACTAAACAGGAAAACATTACCACATGTTTTCCAGGGAGGACAGATTAGATGACTTTAAGCTTAATTCAAACCTGACTATATTGGTGAGTGCTGTGTGAAAAGCCACTGCGTTGTTGACTGGACCGTGGCCAACTTACAGGGGCAAGGTTGAGTGTCTACACGCCCCAGGTGAGATTGGAGGCCCTGTGTGCCCAGAATTGTATACATGTAGTCAGATGCATTTTGATCCCAAAGAGCTTACAGACAAAGATGGGCAGGGGAAACAGAGTAGTAAAGTGTGTTTCTTAAAGAGAAGGGGCTGAACTAGGATTAAAACCAAGGACTCTTGAGTAGGGTTCGGCATCCCCAATGAACCGACAAACCGCCGAGCTATCAAAATGTGATTAACCCACTAGCCTGGCCAGTTCTCCTCTTTGACCATCTTGACTTGTGAGCTCTTTGGTGTATGAAACATGCCTTGCCACAGATTTGCACAATATCGACCGCATGGCAGTTGCTGCCAGTAGCACAAATATACATCAAAACCTACTAAAATCAGATGGCTGTAACTGAATAGTCTATAAGAAGACAAAGGGCTTTGATGATCCTGTGAAAAATACTTGGACTGAAGCAGGGACAAAACTGAGTATGGTTCACTTAAAACACAGTGAGTAAGATCTTGTGGTAGAAGCAGTAGTTAAATGATATTG